AATAAAGCATTACATAAAATTTCATGTTGTATTCTGTGTTAAACATGTATTAGCAATTTGCGCAAGAGGGAAATAAAAGATGGAACAGGGAAACAAATCTATTGTTTAACTTCCAACAAAGACCAGCTCTATGACCACTGCATGACATGACTGTTTTACCTGGGGAAGCTGTTCTAGCCCAGCGATTCTCAACCTTTTTAGTCACGGCACCCCTTAGAAGTATGCAAAATCTCAAGGCACCCAATTCTAAAATGTCATAGATTTTAAAGGGGACCACACGCAAGAAGACACAAAAAAGTGGTTTTCCGCTTCACATCAAAGTGCCCCATTCAATTTAAGATCCCCCCACACACTTCACATCAGAGTCACCCTTTGCATCAGAATCGCCCCTTTCACATCACGAGCCTCCCCTCTACCGCACATCAGTCTTCATTCCCCCTTTACATCACAGACCCACTACCACTAAATTCTGAGGCACCACCGGGGATGCCAGAAGGCACACCAGAGTGCCACGGCACCCTGGTTGAGAAAGGCTGTTCTAGTCAATGGAGAAACCAGGGAGACCAGAACAGAATAATTAGAAGTACTTAAAAGAAAATGAGATTATTCTCAAAATAATCGGAAGCCATTGCACTTTATGTGGTAAATGGTAACGTGAGAAGTAGACAAAGTTTAACTCCAACCAAAAAATAGATATGAGGTAAGTCTTAGAACCTTGGTCATTGTTTTATTGCTGTGCCACCATTTGGGGGATTTATCCTCACTATTTGAGAGGTGTCAGAGAGAACAAAAAGTATGCGGTTATCTATTTAGAACCAAGTAACAGATTTAGCATACAGCCTGCCCTCACTGTTGTAGATACTTTGTTTCCCCATCCAAATCACCAGTCCCAATCAGCCCTGTGAAATGATTAAAGCTTCTGGGTATGGGCAACATGTGACCATTGGGGCACGGGGGACATTTCCTTGCAAGATGTCATGCCGAGAACCTAAAATATAGACTTAAAAATGGTCACCAAACGTCAACGTGAAAGTTAGTTAATAAGGCAAGTAGGACTTTGCGACAGTATGTGATGGTATGGAAAGGCAAGATGTCACCGACACACCGGAAATGTGTCCAAACAATTTTTTTTTATTAACGCATATTGTCACGAGCATGGCAGCATTTTGGGGCCATGCAGGGGCCCTTCATCAGGATCAGTATGACAACATCATGAATAAATAAAAAGAAGTTTGTTTGGACACATATCTCCGGTGTGCTGGTGACATTTTGTGTTTACATTGGTAGGAGCAGCGCCTTCAGCAGTCACTACAGCACCCTTTATTTTTTTAAGGAGGGGGTTACCGGTAAAGAGTGCGGCGGGATACCAGTTGAGCATGCGATGATATGATGCCTGATTAAAGCACTTTGGAAATTTTGTTGCGGTTTGGGGCTCATTTAACCGTCTATACTTTGATTTGTTTCTGGGTACCCTTTGAGGGAAGCCTGTTTGTTTGAAAACTGCCTTACATAACCAGTGAGCTTGTTTGATGATTTCCTTGTGTTGGAACCAAGTTTTTAATTTATTATAATTTATTATAATTCTGTTGCACAGAAAACAACAGCCAGCATACACAACAGTTCCTAAATGTGTTTTTTATACTGGGAATCTGAGCAATTGCCAATCCTGTACAACGTCGCATGTTTTGTTGGAAGACGCAGCTGATCAAAGCATAAAACTGAAGGTTGGTAAGAGCTAAAAACGCAGCGTGCATCATATTACAAGCTGTAAATAAATTTTAAAGATAGAATCTGGGGTTTCCATATTATACGGTTTTCTACTGGACATTATAAAATCACATTTTACAGGCTGACAAACTAAAAGGACAGCAACTGGAGTCTTACTGAAGCCCAGTTGAATTCTTGTACATTTTATATCTTTATTGTCCTGTACCAATTTATATTGAGATTTGTGATTTTTGCTTGGTAATATTTTTCTCTTACTAAACAATTCTGCTTCCTGTCCTCTCCAGTGTTCTGTCCTGGCAGTGCCGAGTAAACCTAAGTACAAGGGTCCTCACACATACTGGCGCACACATACAATGCTGTTTTAATACCTCTCTATGTTAAATTATGCAAATGCAATCAACACCTGGTTGCGACTAACAGATTATGTGGATTGGGGCAACATTCACCATATTTATTCCCAGATAATTTTTGTAGAAGTCCTTCTGAATTGAGAAAACTGGTTGGACGACCAGTGAAACGTATTCAAGAAAAATACATCCAGTTGTCTTGACTTATTTTTCGCAGATACAAGGTGGAAGAGCTTTGCCCTTACACAAAAAAAAACTGGACAACTAATGTAATGTCATTTGTGAGTAGCTGAAATGTGCAAGAAGATTCCAAACCTGATCTGTACAGATTAATTCTCATTTCTCTAAAAAGTGAACATTAAAATCACTTGACAGAGAATCATGTCCAAATGACCTCCATAAGACAGATTCCGCAAGGGCACACAATTTAATGAAAGAGAAGGCAGTGCTTGACATTTAAAAAATCAGACAAATGCTCATATTTCTTTTTTTTTCCGGCACGGAAGCCGACTCAAGTACGTAAAACATCACTTGTTTTAGCACTAGAGTGCACTTTGCTGTAGCTGTAGGCACTGCCAAAAACTATTCCTGCTGTTTTCAGGGGCTCAGAGCACGTCAAAATGTCGAGAGCCAGCAAGTGTTTAACCAACTGCACCTCTTAGCTCCAGGGTATGGGATACAAGACTTGACACATTCAGATGTCAAGAAAAAAAACAATATTTGGGGGGAAAAAAGACCACGTTTAAAAAGGAGATCAATGATACCAACCTTAAAAAGCAGCTGCACATTACCGCAGTCTGAAGTTTCAAAAAACTGTTACAGACTAACATACTCCCCGTCCTCTGGGTAAGATTGGAACTTACTGTGATATACAAGTTTGCCTATCATGCTCCAATGCATGTAGGTGACACTGCAAGGGACGAAGGGTTATGCATGAACCAAAAACACATTGGCTTCAGTTTTATGATGCTGTCTCAAGTCCAATAAAAGTGAACCGAACCTGGCCGTAAAAAAAAAAAATAAAAAAAAAAAAAAGAAGTGGGGTCTATGGTAACAATTCTGGCTTTGCCTGTGTTAGTCTTTATATCCATCTCCGTGAGCAGCCCACATCATGCCCGCTGATCCTAAATCCAGGTTGTACGCAAAGCCTTGACTTCTTTTTAAGTGAGTATATCAAATCCCAGGCGACAACCCTATTCATGATTGATTACTATGCACGTGAGCAGTGGCGTAACAACCGGGGGGGTCGTTCGCCCCGGGCGCATAGGCTAGCAAGGCAGAGAAACACCTAAACAGATTAAAGCAAAGGTGTGCCCCGAAATAGACCGTGACTGTAAAGGAGAGGTATGTATGCATTTGGGCTGTGGGGTTTAAAAAATGGTTATGAGAGGTTTTGGGGGTTGGTTTACAATACTTTTCAGAAAAGTGCATTTACTCTTTTTCATCCTGATATTTATCTCTTGCATCTGACTAATCTGCTAAAACCCTTATGGACTAGGTCTATCCGGTCAATTAAATATTTTTGAGACTGACAGATTTAAAGCCAAACTCCAGGCAAACAGCAAAATGTAGATGAAGAAGCTGTTTTACCTGCCAATAAATCTTAATTTCTGTCCATCTGTTCCTGTGATTTACACAGCTGTTCTACACAGCAAAGCCCTGTCTGGTAGGGACCAAATTTTTCTCCGCTCCAGTTGAGCAGCATCTACATGTCCTGTAACTTCCCCCAGCATGTGACTGGAGAGTGAAATGATAGCCAGGAGACTGACGGGCTTACCTTTCTGTCACTCTGCTCTCTCCTACCAGCATATTGCTTGTTAGCACATGAACACTGCAGTACAATGGATCAGCTGCTTCTCCCACTCCCAGTCTAACCTGCACAGGAACTGCAAGAGGCTGCTGCCAAGTCAGATTCAGGGACTTTCACTGATATATTACTGAATATAGAGCTGCATTAATGTATGCCTTTTATATCTTTCTGGGGTTCAGCTTTAGCAACTTGTTGTCAGCCATCTGATTAGCAGTACACTCACATCAACATTATGCTAATGAGATAACTGTCCCAATGAGATAACCTCCCAGTACCAAAAGATATTTAATGACCAATGCAGCCCTGGCCTTATATTCTGAATGGTCACAAGTCTGAGACTATAAAAGTAAAGAGCAATGTTTTTACCAGGCCAGGCACCACTCTTCATCTGCCGGCCTGACCAGAAACACACTGGGGGAAATTAACAAAACTGGAGCAGACAAAAACTGGAGCAGTCTCCCATGGCAACCAATCAGCTTCTATCTTTAGTTCGTTCAGTTAAGATTAGAAAACAAAAAGGTGGATGCCGATTAGTTGCCATGCACAGCTGCTCCAGTTGTCTGCTCCCGTTTTGATAAATTCCCTTCATTGTGTACATTTTAAATAATGTGACAACAATGGATTATATAAAAGTGAAGCTTAAGGTTATGTGACACCACAGCAACAATACACTAAATTGCACACATCTATTCAGAGCCAGCTCAAAGTCTGCAGTCCACTTTGCTATCTGTTCATAGTTTTAAGAGGCACTGTAAGTAGCTGGTTTTGTAAAGTAAAAGGTTTTCAAAGTTGGATTCAAGCAACAAATGTGGCTTTCTAAAAGGCATACAAACTACATAACAATAAAGGATGTACTGTGCAAATAAAGTCTGTATTTATGATAAAATAAAATGCAGTTCAAAAGATGGGTGGAAATCCCTTGTGGAGAGATGAATGGCATCATTTGAAGAAAGCCTTTCAAGTGAAGGAACTGCTCTAAAAACAGCAGACAGGCTCCGCGTACGGGTTTGAAAGACAAAACTGTGAAAAGGATTTAAAGAGGAAAAAAGGGACATACAAAAACATTTACAAGCAACTGTAAGACAACAAAGAAAGAAAAGCAATTTCCATTGTACCTGTTTTTAATACTCAGATTCTCTTCTTTTAATTTAATCTCTCGCTGCTGTATGACAAAGATCTTTTCAGAGAGATCATCTGGAGTCCTAAAGAGAGAAAAAAAAAAAAAAAAGAATATATTTATATTAATGAATTCACAAACTGAGATCAGTTTTTACATAAAACAACCAGATAGTTACACTTGCTGCCAGTGTTAGGTCATAGACAGCAGCTGTCTCAGAGAACAATCGATGAGGTAAAAGCTTTGCCTCTCCTTGCGTGAAGCCTCTAACATGGGTGTGCATTGGGGCAGAGAACTTCAAACTTGTTGAAGTGACAGCAAACAGCTTCCAAGCATATGAACTAGGGATCAACCGATATGGATTTTTCGGTACCGATACCGATTATTGGCCACATTTCAGGCCGATAACCGATATCAGGTACCGATATTCTATTTACATGCAGCCATCGGCAGATTCCCTGTTTTTTTTTATTCTTCCAGTCACAATACAAAGAAAAACAAAAAACATCAGATAGCAGGGGAAGCATTAGCTCCTCTGCTGTTTTTTTTTATTCTGACCACTGAGTAAAAGGAAAAAACAAAACAAAAAACACAGATTGCATTGGAATGAATAGCTAGGCTGCTATTGGCCATTTCAAATTGCAGTAGCCAATAGCAGGCTGGCTACTGCACCCGCCCACTGCTGCTGTCAATCAGCAGAGGTGGACCTGAAATTCTCCTTCAGGTCCTCTTCTGCTAATTGACAGCAGCAGTGGGCGGGTGCCATAGCCAGCAATTTGAAATAGCCAATACAACAGCAGATGGCTGCGGTCAGAATTTTATTTTATTTTTTAAACCTGCATAGCAGGGGAGATCAGCATATAGTGGGGTAACTAATGCTTCCCCTGCTATCTGATGGGTTTTTTTTTTGGCTGCTGTCAAAATACTCTAACAGGGCCACCAACTCAATGCTGGCTTCTGACCGGCTCCTTGAGGGATTCCGGGCCAGAGAGCAGCACCCACTGTGCAAATTTCGGGCCACTTCCTCAAGAAGTGTTTAAAAATCGGTAATATCGGTCACTTTGATCGATATTTAGAAAAACAATCGGTCGACCCCTAGTATGAACCCATTATTTCTCTATTAACCCCTCACAACCCAAATTATGCAAGACACACTTAAACCAGTTACCTTGCATTACTCAGACCTTGAATGTTCCCACTTTAATGCAAAGGACTGTCCAGATTCCTAGAGGTTTAAAGTGTATTTCTACTTTTGCAGTAAAATTTGAGAAAACCCCACTATATGTTTGTTATGTGTCCTCATTCACACATAGCATCTGGCTCCAACTCTCTCAGCTCGGCTTCTTTGAACGTCCTGTCTAGTACAAGATCACAAGGGACAAAGCAGACTGCAGTAGCTGTCCATCTACTAGCTTGGAGAAGGAAAGAGTGAGGAGCATAGAGCCAGAGGAGCAGGGGAGTGTCTTGCCTTGCCATGCTTGTGTGTTTGTGGAGACACACACATAGCTCACTCGTACATACAAGGGTGGCTCCAAAGATTCCTGCAAGGGAAAAGAGCCACCCAAAAACAAGATCTCAGGACCAGTGCTCAGGGGACCAGCTAATTCTGCAGGAAACAAACTTTTATACATCAAGAAGCAGCATCCATTGTAAATGATTTAACCACCATTTGAAATATCTTAAAAACATTTTGACTAATATTCTAACTACCACGCCCCTTCCATAGCAGAGCAAAATTCAGTTTTGGAGTTGCCAGAAAAGAGCAAGTAAAATGTAAGCAGACATTTTAAATTCTCTTATAAAGTTATATTATGTGTGTGAGAACATGTAGCAAATATAAAGGAGGCGTTATACCAATTGGCTAGAAATATAGTAATGCCTCGGTTCACGAACGCTTCCGTTTGCGAACAATTCGGTTCGGCAAAATTTTGCTTCCGTTCACGAACTCCATATCGGCCGCGGCCATCTTCCACAGCCCTGACATGTGGTCGTGGCTTCCTCTAGTCAAGAGCGCGGTCGCAGAAAGACCTGTGCAACATGCCCGCCTTATGAGAAAATTTGATTCAGTTCGTGACCAGAATTGTGGAACCAATTAAGTTGGTGAACCAAGGTACCACTGTACATTTAAAACATGAGCGGCCATTGGTAACCTTTCCGCCTGAAAGCTCTAGTTGCTTGCATGTGATGGTTGCGTTTTGGCTTCAGCGATTTCGAAGTATCTGACCTGGAAAAAATATATAGGGGATAAGCCAGGCACTGCAAGGTCACTATCATTTTGTGCAGCCAGCAATGCCAGCATACAAATTTCTCCCATGAAATGTGTCTTTTAAAAGGAAACCCATGTACAGACTATACACTAAAGTATTTACTTATGCTGAACAAACAGTAAAAACACTTCATAACTAGCTCTCATTCACTTCTGTAGCTGTAGGCATTCTAGAGAAATTTGACAAGCATCACAAATAAAGAGACACTAAAATCTTATCTTTTCCCATTAATTTCTACTGCGCCAGAATATGGTCAGCCCATTGGACATCTAATGTAAACACATAGCAGGTGTTTCTAAGCTGTACAGTCTTTGTTGTGATCTTTTAGAATGTATTACTTCACAGCACAGCACAAATGATAGACATTTAATGTCTATTATTTGGGCATGTCATTATTATTATTATAATACAGGATTTATATAGCGCCAACAGTTTGCGCATCACTATACAATATAAGGAAGACATTACAGTCACAATACAAGACAAGGTGGTAAGGAGGGCCCTGCCCCTGAGGGCTTACCATACTAACTTCTCATGTTTATGTCATTTCAAAAGTAATTTTCAATATAATAAATCTGTTGTCAATAAAAAAATGAATATCTTGTGATGCTGCCATCAAGGTGTTAGTACAGGCACTTCCTGTTACCGGGTGATATATCTCATTCCGTCTCCCAGTTGCACTCCTGCATTGTCACCCTGTCGCATAAGCTTCTGATGGAGTTTACTGACGAAGACGCCGTTTCCAACACACGTTATTCAAGTATGGTGCACTGTTGTCCTGTATCTAGAAATGAACAAGCCCACCCACAAACAGATGCTTTACAGAAAAAATTATATTTTAACACAGATTTATGGAAAAATGTCCATATACATGAACCAGTTTATAAGTTACAAAAGCTGATAGCTAAATATTTAGCTTAACTGTGTTGCATGTACAGCTCAATAATCATATATTTAGACAAATATAACAAAATGATAAGTACATATGCAGACTGGTCCTCCTTCATGAAGGGGTCAGAATAGACCCCGAAATGGGGAATGAAGGGCCTCTGTTCTGCATGCCTGGTGCACCAATCGTTATGTTACTGTATGCATAAATATTATGTAACAACTGTTCTTTACATGCAAAACAATTATATACAATTCACTCTTTGCAACTTCTTTAAACTGGTTGATGCGAATGGACATGTAAATCTATAAGACAATATAAATATTTAGAACACAGTTGTTTGTGGGTGTACTTATTCATATGTAGATACATTTCAAATGTTGTTTCAGATACAAGAAAACCTGGTTGATACATATCCCTACTTTATTTTGTTGACTGTATATTTACAAATTATATCTGTACAGTGCGTGATAAAACAGAACGCGGGCAATTCAATAGCTGTTGTGACACATTTCTGGTAGTTAGGAAGTGAAATTCATGTAACCTGTGCAACACTTTCGGAGAAAGTTCCAACACATGCAAAAGATAAAAATAGTTCGTATTTGTGATACGTTAATGTGACTTTTCAATTTTTTTACTGCACTCCTGGCCGAATTTTCTCGAAAGGACAGGCTGGCAAACTTTTTTTGAATCGTACGCAAATCAATGGATTAGTGGCATTTTTGTATGAAGAAAAACAAATCTCAACATCAATACTGCACATGTGCAAATGAAAATCTGTTCTGTCGATCAACGAAATTCGTTCATATTGCTAACGGTTATCGAAACAACATCGGCCGGTGCTTGATGGGCTATTTGAGCTAGAATCGAAAGAGGTTTCTTGGCAGCGACGAAAATCGCAGAGTGTATGGCCAGCTTTACTCAGCAACATTAAGAACAATGTGTATCGGTCTCAGTGCCAGCTGCCGCCGCCCCCCCCACCGGACCTCTACGAGTGTTGCCTAAGGCGCTAGCTCAGTTGGGCTCTTGGACAGCAGGGCACCGATTGTCACAATCTTGTCAGAGCAGTGATAAATGCATGTTACCACCACAACGATTGTCGCAAGGGTGTGGCAATGGATTCTTAAAAGTGTCTGCGGCACATTTTCTATGAATTCCACTGTGGTTACCACCAGAATACCCTCCCTAAGCAATGTCATGCATCATCATTGAAGTGTATACATGTAGACCAGAAGAAGCTGCAAAGAGATTTCGGAAAATCAGCAGCATTCAGTTGCAACAACGGATGAAAGGAGTTGTTTTTTCCAAGTCAATTGTTTATGACACACAGTGCTTAGCAGTGTCCTTCATTCAGGGTTAAAATCTACTTTAAATTGATGTGGCCATGGTCAGATTGAAGGCCCATTTTGTTTCTTATAGGGATGCACCGTTACCGATACTAGTATCAGTGCCGATGCAGAGTATTTGGGCGAGTACTCACACTCGTCCAAAATGGTCCAATGCCTAGCCCGATACTTCTGGTATCAGGAAGCCGGGCAACGTGTCATTAGGTCATAACACGCTGCACGGCTTCCTGATTGGCCGGGAAGCCGGCTCCATGCTCTCTCAACACAAGTGACGAGAGAGCATGAAGCCGGCTTCCAGGCCATTTAGGAAGCCGGAGAGCGTGTAATGATGTAATTACACGGCACCCAGCTTTCTGCTTGGTTGGGAAGCCGGCCAATCAGGAAGCCAGGCGCCGTTTAGTGATGTCATTACACGGCTTTCTGATTGGTCGGGAAGCCGGTTTCATGCTCCCTTGTCATCTCATGACAAGGGAGCGCGGAGCCGGCTTCCCGGCCAATCAGGAAGCCAGGAGCCGCATAATTACACAGCACCCGGCTTCCTGATTGGCCAGAAAGCTGGCTCCATGCTTTCTCATCACCTAGT